CAGTTGCGCACCCTAATCCCCATATATATTTATATATAATATATACCCTACATTACCCTACATAGTTTTAGAATAGAATTAAGAGCCAACTGGGAGGCATTGCATTGTATGAATAGGACCCCTAGTCTTGAAACTTGAGGGATTCTCAAGACTAGGGGGAAGTAAACCCTCGGTACCCATGCCCTAGTGATTTGGCCCCGTGGGGTATCACATGATACTCCGCCGGGTCAAATTGCGAGGGTGGTACCAAGGGTTTACATCTTAGCGGCAGGGAGGGGATGCCTGGAGCGGCGGGCCACACGCTCCGGGGATCCCCAGCAGGCAAAGAACAAAGAATCGGACACCCCCTTTGCGCAATGAGTTTTGGGGGGGGGGGTCTTCGGGCCCCCCTCCCCCGAAGGGGGCAAGGCCTTCGGGCCAAGGAAGACAAGAACAGTTCAAGAACACATAAATTCTGCCATTTTTTTTTTCTTGTTGCGCCCGGTCGGCAGGAAGCATCGAGCGAGCCTTAGGGAAGGATGCTCGGAGCAGGTGGCCCTGCTCTAGGCATCTTTCTTCTAGGTTCCTTGATGTGGAACGTCGACCTTTCTCGGGGGCCCGAATATAGGGAGGGCGCACCCCGCTATTCCTTTCGCCTCCACTTCTGTTCAGCTCCTCTTTCTTGCAATCTCGAAACTATGCCCGTTTTTTTGCCATGGTGTTTCGGGTTGAAATGAAAGGGTTTAGCCTCAAAAGACAACTTCGGATGTTTTTTGGTGGATCGATACCCACGATTTGCAATTTTTGGCTTTCCCTGTTTTCAGATGATATGGTTGTGGCATATTGCTGGACAAATGCTTATGCAGTATACATACCCCTAAGCAGGCGACAGAGAAATTTTGGCGTGGGCGTCAACAGTTCGGGGCACAAATCGCCTATCATCTTCTAAGCACTGCGATGTGGGATACCCTCTGTATATACCGGATGAATGCAATGCCTTTGTCCAGCAATATCCAAATGAATCACCTGGGTCCAGCCTTCCCGGTCCTCGCTCGCTTTCTGTCGCGGCCAGGCAGTGGCTGTGCGTCGAATCCGGCGCACCAGCCGCGTCGATGGATGATGTGAAGGCAGCTCTGCAGTCACTATAAGTTGCATTAGTCTGCATTGGTCTGCATTATTCTTCGACACGGGTCATTATTCTCGATGCCCCTATTCTGCCGATATTATTCGATATTTGTGCATTATCTTCCGATATTCGACGTTCTTCTCCACGCCGCTCGGGCCTGCAAGAGTTGACACTAGTCTGCACCAGTCAAGCTGTTTTTCTTTGGTGGTACAAACCTCCTTTTGCAAAGCCACTCAGGGGAGACACAGTGGGAATAAGTAATAACCAAAGTTTTACGTATTGAGACAAAGGGGCGAGGGGTGTTGGAGAGAGACCCTTTTTTTCTCCCCATCAGCTATAAATATTTGCGGTCCTGGACACTTTGGGTCTGCCGGCTCAGGTATCGGGATATCTCGCGTCTCTGGTCTGCATTCATCCCTGCGCGTGAGGCGTGCTCGGGCATCTTCTGTCTGTTGTATATATTGCATAAAACCCTCTGTACAAACACTCATGCACCGGTATAGCCACTATATCTATCTATATATATATATATTGGCACATAAACAAACAAAACCGTCTTCTTTGCTGCAAGCCACCCGAAATCTTCCCCGAAGGCTTAATTCTGCCTGTTGTGACTTCGGGCCAGGCGCGTCGCCTTCGACGCCACTGCCTTGTCCCCTGCGCGTCATCTTTTCCTCGCGTCCATGCCTCAAAGCTTCCATGTACCGACTGCAGTGCATCAGCCATGTGGCCATGTTGCATCTGGTCATTGTTACATGTTGAACCTTTGCATATATGTGACCTGCCCGCAGCAACTCTCAAGCTTTTAAGCCCTCTTTCAAGCTTTGCACCCGCCTTTCTTTCGCTCCCTTTGTCCGCGCCTCAGATCAAATCTTCCACTTGTCACCACAAATGCGCGCAGGCGTCACCCCTTTGCTCCGTTTATTCTCTTCCTGTATATATCTATCGCCGATCACCCAGTCAACCAACCAATGGCCTGCATCGGAGAGACGACCATGTTCACCGGCCGTTGGGCCGACGTGGAGCTTGAGGAGGCGCGTTTGGGGTGATGCACTGACAAGTGCACCTGAATCGCTTGCCTTGCTAAATGCCAGGCACCGGTGCCTCTGGAGGCCCGGCTGCTTGCTTTCGGGTTTGGGAAGTAGGGCGGCTGCCATATCCCTTCCTGACAGGACTACGTCCTCCAGAACCCGGTCCTCCTCCAAGAGCTTCAGGAGGCGGTGGAGGCCCAGCACTTTTGGAAGGATATTCCATCGCGTCAATCCGGGTATAGGTTGCTTGCCACCTGTCAGGTGCCTCACACAGTGTGGAGCTCCACCGCGTCCTTGGGCGGCTCGCGCAAGAAGAAGGCAGCGTCGCTGACAGTGTTTTTTTTCAAAGCAAACTTTCCTGGTCCTGGCCGTGCAGGCACCGCGCCCTCGCGGTGGTACCTTCTTGCCCGAGCCGGAGTCCAACAAAACCGCCAGCGCTGCAGCCTCAGTCTGTCCGCATCATCTGTTTGCATCATGCAACACCCCGACATGCCGATGCCCAGGGACTCGCAGCATGCGAGAAGCGCTGGCATAACAAGGCTGCGAAGGAGCGCGCCAAGGCGGGGCTTGGGAACATTTGGAACCTGGGCATGCGCTCGTGTCGTTGGACTCCTCAATGTTTCAGGCGGCAAAGCACCGCCGCGCGGCACCTTCGCACAAAGAAGACCCTGGAGCTGGAGCGGTCGGGGCCTCAATTCGCCATCGCATGAATCATGACAGCCTTGAAACTTGGCCGCCTTGTGTTTCTTTGAATACCAAATCTTTCTTTTACCTTGAGGGCGCCACCAGCCGTGCCAAGCCGCCGTCGGTCCCTGCCTTAATTTCTACCGACTTCAGCTGATTGTTTTCTTCTGATTGTACTGCATCGCAAGCAAAAGCACTTAAGCCATTTTAAGGCGAAGGCTGGGGTGGTGCCCGCTTCCGCTCCGGGTTTCTTCTGCTCCAACCATGTCCCCAGCTCAGAGGCCGTATATATTGTATATATAAATACCAGTAGTACCGCACAAGGCGGTGGCGGAAGTTTCAAAAATAGGAAACCTATAGGAGACATTGGTTGTTGTGAATCAGGGATGGCAGGGCGAAGCCACTGACGGACCGAAAGGTGCTTGAGGTCTCCTCTCTTTCTCTCTTTTTCTCTGACTATCTACCTACCTACCTACCGATCTATCTATGTATTTATCTATCGCTCTCTCTCTCTCTCATCTAATTACCTATCTATCTAGTGGAATGTAGTGTAGTGTAATGTAGTGAAGTGTAGTGGAAGGTAGTGTAGTGTAATGTAGTGTAGTGTAGTGGAGTGTAGCATGGTGTAATGTAGTGTAGTGTGCTGTACTTGAGTGTAGCGGAGTGTAGTTGTGTAGTTGTAGTTGTAGTGGAGTGTAGTGGAATGTAGTGTAGTGTAGTGTAGAGTAGTGTAGTGTAGTGTAGTGTAATTTAGTGTGCTGGAGTGTAGTGGAGTGTAGTGTAATGTAGTGTAGCGCAGTGGGGTGTAGTGTAGTGTACTGTAGTGTAATTTAGTGTAGTGGAGTGTAGCGGAGTGTAATTTAGTGTAGTGGAGTGTAGTGCAATGTAGTTGTGTAGTTGTGTAGTTGTAGTTGTAGTGTTGTGGAATGTAGTGTAATGTAATGTAGTGTAGTGGAGTGTAGTGTAGTGTAATGTAGTGTAGTGTAATGAAGCGAAGCGAAGCGACATCTGAACCTCCAAAAGTGGTCCGAGACCCTGGTGTTTTTAACATTTTGACTTGGAAATGTGCTTCGCGCCACAACGGCGTGCACTTTTTCGACATCTGAACCTCCAAAAGTGGTCCGAGACCGTCAGTTTTTAACACTTTTGACTTGGAAATGTGCTTCGCGCCACAACGGCGTGCACTTTTTCGACATCTCAACTTCCAAAAGTGGTCCGAGAATGGTGTGTTTTGTACATTTTGACTTGGAAATGTGCTTCGCGCCACAACGGCGTGCACTTTTTCGACATCTCAACTTCCAAAAGTGGTCCGAGACCGCCAGTTTTTTACACTTTTGACTTGGAAATGTGCTTCGCGCCACAACGGCGTGCACTTTTTCGACATCTCAACTTCCAAAAGTGGTCCGGAGCTGAGGTGTTTTGTACATTTTGACTTGGAAATGTGCTTCGCGCCACAACGGCGTGCACTTTTTCGACATCTCAACTTCCAAAAGTGGTCCGGAGCTGGTGTGTTTTGTACATTTTGACTTGGAAATGTGCTTCGCGCCACAACGGCGTGCAACTTTTCATCTCTCATCTGGCCAGCTGGCTCCGCACCCGCCGCTTTAGCGAGCCTACTTTTCGACTCTCCGGAGCCACAAATCATTGGAAAAACACAGTGTTTCGCGACTTTCCTGCCTTTTCGCGCATCTGCATCTTCTTTCTTCTGACTCTTTCTCTTCTACTCTTCTCTCTTCTAATCTTTCTCTTCTCTCTGCCTCTGCCCTACTCTGCTTTTCATCTGGGTTTGTCTGAAAATAGGGTATATTCCCAATTTTTGCCATTTAATAGGGATAATGATCATTAACCATTGGGTTTAGGGGTACACTATTTTCAGACAAACCCATCTGTCCATATTGTCGGAAGTTTGACTTCTAAAGTTCCTTCGACAATACAGTCAATACAGCTGTCGATGCACATCGTCCATTGCGTTGCTACCTGCAAGATCCTGCAAGACTGCATTGAATCTGCAAAGGACATTTGCTACATCCCCATAATTCATCATTATTCATCAATATTCATCAATCTATTCATCATAATTCACCTAAATCTCATGCATTTCTTTGAACCTCCATCATTTTCCAAATATTCGCCCAATTTCCACGCTCCTCACACGCCGATGCCGAAAATTCTGCTGTCAGGCCTTTGCTCGACGCCTGTGCCAAAGTGCACGTCAAAGAGGCCCAGGCTGGCTGGCGGCTGGCCACCAGACATCCGACCTCCAAAGGTTGAGATACATCGAATGTCTTAGAATGTCTTAGAATGTCTTAGAATGTCTTGTCTTAGATGAGATCAATTGAGATCACATGACATGACCATCATGACCTTGGGAAACTCATTCCACGGCTTCTGTCATGTTCCGAGGTTTTTGACTCCACAAATATGTGGCATGGAATGGCAGGGACACCATTTTGAATATATAGCGGGAATAGCGTCAGAGCGTGTGAGTTCACTGTACTGATCCCCTCCTATTGTTTCGTGCATCCGCTTCATGATTTACTCATAAAGGCACCTGTGGCTGAACGTTTCAGCTTCTTTCGAGGTGCAAGGCAAGCCCTGGCGTCGTTGTTAGACTCTGTGAGTCAACAGGACGGTGGGCTGGGAGAGCCAAGTCAAATTCGATGTGATGATGGGGCCACCAGGGGTAGTAGATTCATCAACTAGGTTGGCAGGAATTGTACTGAAGATGCATGAAGATGCAAAGTAATGCATCAAGACATATCAAAAATCAAAACCATTGAACACCAATGAAAACACGTGCCATTCTGCTGACTGTCTTTTTGGTCAATACATGAGACACGGATTCTTCCCGTACCATTCTGATACCAACCACAACAGGAGTCTGCTCGTTGGTGTGGCGCAACGAGAGTGATGCTCTCGGCCGTCATTTCATCTTCCAGGGTGTGAGAGGAAGACAATAGTGTGTATTAGGATATGTGATTGGAAGAAGTATCATTCCATGTGACTCTGTGTGTCTGAACTGATTGCACTTGTGACCTGCTCAAAATGTTTTGAGATCCATTTTGCGGCCTATGGATGCCTATGGAGCTTTCTTGACAAACCACATACAGTCAGACAATCGTAAAGACAATGTTTGTCCGAACAACGGCATTCTGACATGCTGTCCCTTCAGGTATCAAAGTGCTAGCGGAAAAAATCGGGAGAGAGCCCATGCATCAGGTTCTGAAGCATCAAGTCAGTTCAAAGGTCGCCCACAGATTTGTCGTATATTTATGTATATTTGCCCTTGCAAGGATGCTGGTTTCAATGCTCTTCATGCAGCTGCGCGCTGGGCTGAGATCTTGAGCACCTTTGGCTGACGTGGCTTTAATGATAGGATATGGAACTACATGAACTACCTGCACCACCCAACTTTCATGAACCGTTTCTTGAAAAACAAAAGGATACAAAAGAAACCTATCATATATATTTATATAAAGCATTATAAAGCCATCCTGCTTCGAAGCTGAGATGTTTTTCTTGTAGGTTGGGTACTTTATGAAGACGGATAAGCTGCGACCAATAAAAACCAACGAATACAGTTGCACTGACAGTTTACGTATTTGATTTTGGTGATTTTGGTGCGGTTCTGCAAGTGAGGTTATGTAAGGTTGCCATGAAACCTTAGAGATCCTTAGAGTTATGGATGACTATGGACCAGCTCACACTCACGAGGCAAGGAAATGCCGTGGAATGTCTTCAACTCTTGCTGGAGAGGAAGGCGCGCCAGCCATCAGCCAGAGTCTGGTCGTCTGGTCCAACTTACTGGCTTTGATACAGCAAGAGATTACACGATCTTATAGGAACGTTCATGAAAGTTCCATGGATTTGGATTACAAGTTTCAGGCATTCAGGTTGGGAAGAGAATGAAAACAGGAGCTGTAAAGAATTAAAATCCAGTGTTTATTCTTGAAGACAAGTACCATCTCATCTTTGGGAATTGAATTTGAGTTAAAATTCGTTATATAGTGTATGTGCGTGGTGAACCAAGCACCCAGAACTGATTGGGAATTAAATCTAGGTTTTATTCCTGCTTTATTTGCTGTGCGAATTATTGAAGCAGCAACTATTCATATGGTCCATATGATGCAATTTGTTTCATTGAAAATTGTCATTGAATCAATGCAAACGAACTCGTGGATTTTGAAGTTAATGTGGATACACCTTCAGGTTGCAAGATCGGTTGTATCATTTCTATGGCTTGAAATGTGCTTGCAGATGCAAGATTTAAATCGGGTTTTTACTCTGTGAGATTTGGATCAATATCCCAGAGTTTCCTTTCTCAAAGAATTAAATTCTGATTTAATTCCTCTCCAGACCCCGATGCCTTCCAAGGGCTTTTCAAAGACCCGCTAAGAAGTGTCTACTGGGCCGAAATGGCTCTCCATTCTGAAAGTGATGACGTTTGCCCGAGTTAACTGCTGGACATCCATAAGTCTAAAAGACCCTCCCTGGGTTCTTCGAAAGAAACATCCATCGACCAAAAAGTTTTCTCAATGGCCGGAGCAAGAATGGCTGTTTTTTGAAGGCTCCGCCAAGCACTGCTTTCACATAACAAACATTGAACTTGGGGGGGTGTCTAACTGTCCTCGCTACTGTAGGGTTCAAGTTGGTTGGCTGTTTTCTTTTGAAGAACCCGATAAGCTCACATTCTTGCCAAATTCTTGCCACTTCATTGGTACCCGCACTGGCGTGGGGAACTGTTGTGTTGACCACAAACGGCTGCAAGAAAACTTTGCGAATAAACTTTGGATTTAATTCCACAGGATGGCACCACTGCACATGAGAAATAAAACCTCCAGTTCAAAACCGCTGTCCTGTCACTCTGATGCAAAGAATTAAAACTACGTAGGTTCAATAAATGGAAAGGGTCTATATGACCATGTACGATATCAAGAATTAAAATATAAGTTAATTCTTTGTAACTCTTGTTTTAACTCTTTTTCTTCAGGTTGACCCTTTGAGAAGAATTGACTTGATCAATCTTTGTAGGTCTTTGTAATGTTTTCAGATGCACCCATGAGGCAAAGACAACATCCACCGAGGGTGGTGCAGCGATGATGCCAGTGGCCACAGACGCACAGTCTAAAAAACACATTGGCCATGTGTGTCAACTCGTACCAATCTTGACATCGAAATTGAAGGCGAGCTGGACAGATAACTTGATCCTGTTGAGCGCTTGCTCGGTCACGTATGCCGGCCACATGCCATTACAAACCAGGATTTGATTGCACCAGGTGTGACATACTGCATGCTTTATCGAGCGGTAGAAACTTGTCCACCTTTCAGCTGAGCTTTCACGAGGCCAATGCACTACGCAGCAATGGCAAAAGGGCCAGAAGCCTTGAATCTGTTGCTTGGGGCCTAGCGACGCTATGCCGACTTGCGAAACTATCAAGGATTGGAATAAGAGTGGTAGGAAAAACGATTCCCGATCGGTAGGAGAGCTTTGGTTCCGCTTCCATGGTTGTTGGAAGTAGCATAAATATGTATATATATATAAATGTGGTGATAATGTGGTGGTTGTATGTGGTTGTTGTGTAGAATTTGCATCTAACTTCTGTGGCTCAGGGAATCTCAGGTGAATTCACACAGTCACCGGCTGGATCACCGGCAGCCACAGCCGAGGCTAAACGCTAAAGCACCCCTGACAGTGCGTGACGCCCGAGGGCAGTCCCTTTTGCATGTGGGATGCTTAGGATGCTTGGAGCTGGTGGTGCGGCACAGTCCCGCAAGTCCCACAATATCGCATCTCCATCTGAGAGAAAGTACCTTGAAGCTCAATGATATCAGTCTATTGGGAAGCTACACGTGGAAGTTCAACGAACCTTTTATTATACAATATGATATAACATGATATAATAACTTTTTGATCTCTTTTGCCAGTATTCAGCAACGGACTTACTCATACTGGCAGAAAGTCAAAGTGACGACAGATGCGTAGTGAGCTCAACGCACCCAGGCTGCCGCTCGCAGTGGTGCGGATCAATGCGTCAAATATCTCTTGCAGATGGCCGAGAAGGACTGTAAGGGTATGTAAGGCTGGTATCCTGTTGGATTTGTTCAGTCGCTGTCAAGTCAATGGTTTTTACCTGCACCGCATGCTATTCGCACAGCAATCTTGCATAGAAAACCAGAGGCACTGTTGGAAGCTTCCGCTCGAAGGTGCCTAACCAGTGGAATAGGACTTGACAACGGAATCAACGGACAGCTCCCGCTAGGAGAAGCAAGGAGTGCGACAGAGAAATGGCGAAGCTCGAAAGCTCCTTGAATGGCCCGGCAACTCAGACATACTCAGATGGGACCTGAGCCCAGTGAGGCAGAGATCAGGAAGACCATTCTCGATATTGTAAAGCAAAGATGGAATTGGAGCAACACTTCTTGTAAGATATTGTAAGTTTGTCTATGAAGAGATGGCACGAAAAAAGTTACACTAAAGTGACAGTGTTTTGATCTGCTGCCTTGAATTCTTGTAAGTTCATCCTTTCCCCAGAGCCACGATCCTCAGCGCCCTTGAGGAGTGACAGATGGGCCCGAACTGCTGTGCACTGGGCGGCATTGAATGGACATGTCGAGGTGCACCTGGCTCCAAGATGCAATGGGTCCGTCTCAAAATGCCGGATGCGGTACCCAAAACGGCAAGGTCAGGGTGAAACATCATTACGAATCATTATTGTTTTGGGGTTATATATATATAATTATATATATAATGTAATTATATATCCTATTTTGAGGCAACGAATACCGTAGCAGAACAATGCAAAATGGAGGAGTTTCAACGTGTGCATCAATAATTCTCGGCTTTGTTGTTGTGTATATAGATCAGCTGGGATAATGGGACTGCAAGACTTTCGCTTGAGAAACAATCCATTCTCGCAGCATGCCTTTGTGGCCCTTGAGGTACTGAAGCTCCTGTTGGATGCCAAGGTGGGTGCTGTGATGCCATCTTGCGATGGAAAATGTGCTTGGAAAACTTGGAAGACCAAATCGATCCAGTAGTTGGATGCGAACACTTGCCGTGGTCTCTATCAGCTGCATCATCCGGAGAACTCGCATTGTTGGCTCGTACAGGATCAAACATTGCAACATAAAAGCAGGATGTGGAACTGATATTTGCAACGAAAAGAGGAAAGCGATGGAGAGGGTATGTATACATGGATGTTCCGAAAGAAATCTCCGCGTGGATCTGACAGCAACTGTTGAAGATTCACTCTTGGCCCATCCTGTCCAGCTCTGCTATGTTCTGATGTTACATGGTTGACATGTGTTGACGTTTGTTTTTTCCTATATTATGAAATATATGAAATGACAAATGCACCAATTCTTCTTCCCCATGACAGCTGAAGAGCTGGGAACAACAAAGCCAAACAAACTACTTGGCCATGGGTGCCAGTTGCATCCGCTTGGCTACCTTAGGCCCAGATTGCGGGACGAGAATGACGGCACAAAAACAGAATCAAGAAACCGAGTTAGAGCGCCAGCCAAGCTTGAAGTCATTGATTCCGTCCATTCCAGACCTTGGGCTCTTGGTAAGTACTACCGTCTGGTAATTTAACATAGCTATTGAAAATGGCCATTAATAGTGGATTTTCCCATTAAAAATGGTGATTTTCCATAGTTATGTTAAATTACCAGAGGGTACTTGTAAGTACATAATAAGTACAGAAAAGATATCAAAAGATCATTCTGCCTCTTCTCCATCGATGAGAAGGCTGCGCTGCCTTTGCGGTACAGCTTACCGAGAGGACCGGGAGGGGCGGGCGACATCGGCTACAGTTACTACATGCCTGGTTTTTGTCATACCCATTTGGACAGGATGTGCATACAAACTGTGCTTACAAAGGAGAGGTTCCTTGCTTGGAACATCTTGGAACATCTTGGAACATTGAATCAGGGTTTAAGTTCTAGTCTATGCATTCTATACCAGAAGACAACCGAGCCATTCGTGTAAACTGGTATCTCAGGACGTGGGATGAACAAGTGGCAGGGAAGACGGCATTTTGGTATGGTTTGGTGAGCGGGGGTGCGTTAGGAATGATAGAAGCTGGTCAACCTGCAGTTGGAATAGTTGGAATGTTTTGATTCTTGATGTTCCATGTCATTGCATTGAGAATCCAGGTGCATTGGAACATCACACGAATCGTGGTCATTGAAGCAAGGCAGTTCTGTATTCACTCTTTTGGGACGGAATCTCCCTCAGGTTTTCGTGAACTTCCATGCCAAGTGGTGTGGCCATTGTCAAGCCTTGAAGCCAACGTGGGACAGGCTGGCCAGATTCAAGGACGCTTCAGCTGGATGGCATACAAACGAAGGGAAAGGATGGTGTAGGGATGGCTCAAGATGATTGACCCCGAAAATGGATAGTTGAAAATTAAACATTATCTAACATGACCAATTGTGTGAGTTTATTTGCATCCAAAATTGTTAGCATCGCCTAGCCATGTTTACATTCTGCATGTGTTCAGTGTGAATCATTGTGACGTCCCTGATCAGTTTATTCTGCCATCCATACATTGCATACGAAAAAAGAGTACTGGTACGGTGTTGTCCATGTGTTGTCACTAGGACTTGCCACTTCGATGAGCCGCTCTGTACCCTACTAACACGTCCACTGGCAGGTTGATTGAATCTCCACATAAGTGCATATGTGTAGCTGCAAATGAAGGTATTCTGCTCAGTCAGGATGCAAAAGCTTCCTGAGTGGTGGCTCCTTCCGTCAATTTATGATCGTACCAAACTTTCCCTAATGCAACCAACGACGTCTCAATGGTCCATGCACTGAGTTTGGGTTAGGCAGAGGTCAGGAACTTTTCCGGCACCAGCCAATGCATCTCTAGTGCTTCAGCTGGCCTGTTGCACTATGTTGCACTTCCTGTTTGGGCCGCGAGGACAAGCACAAGCTGATCGCAGATATCGAGTGTTCTGGCCACTGGGTGTTCATCGATTCATCGTTCGTTTGAAGAAACGGTGGGATCCGAAGGTTGGGTATGTTTTGGCAGACAGCTGATGCTGTTGCAAAGATTACAACTGAAATTCCACTCACCTCTCACTTAACATCACTCAACTATACTTAAGTATGTTTGGAGAATGAGAGGCAGTTGGAAAATGCAACTTGAGCAGAAGAAATTGAAAGTCGATGAAAACCGAATGGCAAACCATGTGAAAGTCTATCAGGCAAGGACGGCTTGGAGGCGAAATTGAAAAAGTGAAGAATTGAGGGGCTGAGTGCTTCCATGCGCTTCCGGGCCAGTGTCAGAAAGAAAAAATTATGATTGTTTGACTCTGCCCAGGTGACTCTGCCAAGTTCTGCTTAGACCAAGGCGTGGACAAGCAACTTGCCTTGTAATCTGCGCTATAACCAGAAGAATCATTCCCATCAAAAGGGAGGAACTTGCTCACATCCAAAAGGCGCACCTTGCCATAGATCCCGCGGCGGTGTCCGGGGGCGGCAACATAATCCATCATAATCCTACCAAGCTCTTAACACATTTAACACACATTCCCAGGATTTCCAAAGTTTCTTCCATTGTTGAAGAGATTTTTTCAGAGACATGAAGGACCAAACTGAGTTTATTCCAGAATCTAATAGAGTCATAGAGAGTGACAGCGACACGGAATATTCGCTATGTCCGTGAGGTTTCCAACGCTGAAGTATGGGAATCCCTTTGACCTTGACACTCGGAAGCAGTTGGTGCTGATTCTGTCAAACATATTCAGAAATATCAGAAATCATCAAAAATCACCTTGACCGTTCTGACAGACTTCAAGTTTTTATTGCCTGGTTGATCACGGATTTGGCCCGATTTTGCTGTCACATCCCGATGACACAGGATGAGTACAAGGGGAAGAAGGCACAGACCACAGTCACTGCGTGTTATTGCAGAAGCACTCTCACATTCATAAGAGAAACAAAGAGACCAAGACGTGGAGTTTGAAGCACTGACAGAGAGAAACACCGCTGTCCAATACTGCTGTCCAACTGCAGGAGTTGACAGATCTGGAACGCTTTGTCCAAGAGATGAGACCAGCAGCTTCGGACAGAAACATGGGTCCACGCAGATCAAGAGAAGACAATTTCATACAATACATTCATCACATATGGGCCATATGATCATGCATCTGTAATATACATATATTATATTATATTATATTATATTATATTATATTATTAGTTGTTACTAGTATTATTAATTATTATTATCATCATTATTATTTATATATACAGGCGCATATGACTATGGTGTGTAGCATAGTATCGGTTTTTGGCGCTCCCAAGTGTGAGCACAGGTATGTACAGTGGAGAATCAAAGATATTGCTCCACCTCCGAGAAAGCATTGATCAAGCAGTTTCAGAAGTTCTTGGGCAGCACTTAGCATCAGAAGCATGGACAGTTGACAGTCATGCAGACCATCTGCGCAAATCACCTGCATAGGACCAGCCTTGTGGCCTTGGATGAGTTGGTTGAAGAGCTGTCAGAAGAGCGGAAGAAGGCAATGAATGACTTGGGACTAGTGAAGGTTTCATGCGAATGCCCGGCCTGTTGGCCAGAATAAAGTTGGTTTTATTATGTTTCTTTGATGATGTTTTATGGCTTTGGAAACGCCACCATTGGATGAACACCGTGGAGTGCAAGTCTTGCGAAATCAAGTCAAGTCTAAACGTTGTAGAGGATCACACAGAACTTGTTTCTCTTTAGATGAGAAGTCCAAATCCATGGTGTGCAGCCGCTGTTGACTATATAACAATCAGAGGTTGGCGTGCGCACAATTCTGCCCAGGTGGAATCCGAGTACAGATCCTCGGAAGCAGTGGCATGTGCTGATGTGTCCATTGAGAATAAGAAGTACTGGTATATTGCGGACAAAGAAATGGTATTTAGGGTGGAGGCGAGTGGGGGTACTTGCTGTAGTTCCCTTCACGTGCACGAGTGTTCTTTTTGCCACTGATACCCCATGAATCCGTATGATCGTAGCGTATTGTAGCATTGTACCACAAGTACTGCCCTGCAAGATCTCCTTTCTCCAATCCCAGCGCGCTGTTTAGCTGTTCAGCAGCTCTTAGGTCTCTTTAAAGACAACCTGCTGGGGACTCTGACCAAGGTAGGGCATTCGTTGGTTGTGAAAGTTGCCGTCGTTCAGAGTCGCCACCCCACAAGCAACCCTCTGTTCAGGCTGGCCAGCAGAAGGAGCTTGGGTCACAGTTGTAGAGCTGTGGAAAATCTGTACTGCCAGTGTTTTGTACTAGTACTTTTGGTTGTGGGTGTTAAAGAAGCAGGAACCCAGCAACGAAAATTCAGACTGTTGGAAAACTGGAGCTCCCTCTTCGCATTCTTCGCGACTTGACCGCCGTCACATCCGGGAGTAAACAGCTTGCTTTGTTGGTCTTGCTTTGGATACAGCTTGCATGGAGGACAAAGATGTCAGTGCAGCGCGAGACGATGAAAAGATGAAGATTGAAGAAGACTTTCGCAGGACACTTGGAAGAATATGAAGATATAAGAAGATATACTTGGTTGATGTATGTTGATATTCAGCACTTCTGTGATCTGTGCAGCCTGAGCTTTGAAGGAGCAAGTTTGCATTGAATGATCCTTTCAGATTGGCAGTCGAGGTATTTACAAAGGATGGTTCTGCTGGGTTCAAACTGGTATATAATGTATAATAATGTATACGTATTGTATGCGTATATGTAAATATGTATTATGTAATGAAATGGAATGGAACCTAACGTAACATTGTGTTATGTTATGTATGTTCTAATGCCATCTAATGCCAACATGTCACCTCACAGTGGCGAACGCACGGTTTCGTTACTTTCCGCACGATGGTTTGTGCCAGGTTTGTGGATGGCCTCACGAAACAACACGATGCCAAAGAAGCGGAGCTGAACGATGCTTTAAAGAGGTTGAAGGAAAGAGGCTCTGAACTCGTTGAATCTTCGATACTTGTTTATTAATGTTTATTATGTTACTTATGTTTTATTTAGCTTTCCACTCTCATTACATAATATTATGTAATCATGTCAGCTGGTAGGTTTGGGCCTTGCACGCAGCATTCAACGGAATAGGTGCATGGGCCAATCCAGCGTCTTTTGTGCAAACTGATCGAAGAAATTATGCGGTGCATTCATTGAAATGCAAAGTGTGGTTGCGCCGTTGAATCTCGTTACGTCGTTACGTTCCAAATTTTTCATCGCTTTCGGCTTCCGTTTCAGTTTGTTTGGTCATGCTTTCAAATTGACCAGACATGATCTCGGAAGTTGACTGGCTTCAGGAAGCCCCGAGAAGAGTTGTGAGTAGCTCGGCCCGGATGCAAAGGATTTCCGGGAAAATTGCCTGAGACAAACCTGACGGAAAATCACCATGCGCCTCGCAGATGCCATTATCATGAATTGATCAGATGAACGACTGAGTTGATAATTGGCATGATCTCAGAGTTTCATTGATCTTGCATAGATATGCATAGATAGGATATGGCCTTTCAGGCGTTTGGCTGATATCCCTATGCCTAGCTGTGAACCTCACCAAGCACCTCCGGTTTGATGGGATTGTTGAATGTACTGCTACTAATTGGTTTTGTCGCTTTGTCCAAGGGTAGCACTGTGGCTTTCAGGGCTCTTGATCTTTAGCATCAAGCTTCGGCAGGCCAATGCAGCGCCAAAGCTCATCACCGAACACCAGATGGCAAAGAGGACTGAGTCGGACTGAGCATTTTCCCTTCATCTTCTCATGGTCAGCGTTCGATTCAAGTGATGATGAAATGTGCATGCGGAGAGAGCTTCTACAGAACCACGGTCGCACATAGAAATTATTCTCTTACATTCTGACGGCTCCTTCCCAGCAACCTGTGGGAAGGACGCACCTCGTTCAGGCAGCAGATACCCAAATCAGTAGCAGGGGTGTCTGTAATGGACAAACTGTGCTAGTCTCGAAAACGTCTTTGTCAACGGCGAAGGTATCCCGGAAGACAAGGGAACTCAGACCTCTTTTTGAAAGAATCCTAGCAGTTTGAACTTGTCACTACTCATCCTGCAAATCATGTTTGTTCTTTTCATTGCGAGCTTGCTGCACCGTTCTGCTTGATCTAGAAAAAAGTTGATAGCGGATGTTTTTATGTTTTGCTTCGACCTGTTCTACAGAATTTGCATCTGCTGCTGTGACAGGAACAGCCCCTTGATGTGGCACTGCGAGTACATGGGCCTAACAGTGAGGTGCAGCATTGAACATGGGCTCCCAGCTTTCTTACAAATTCAGGTTGCAGCCCTTGACAGCAGTGAACATCTTTCCTGACTGCTTCCGGAGGTGGTCCGCCAGCTGCAAAATGCCTTGGAGGAGGAGGAGCAGACCACCAGATGGACAGTGCGTTTCTGCTGCTCGTACTGACCTACTGCAGGATCCTTTGAGGGATGATAAAGATGAGGACAGTCGATTGCCAGAGAGCTTGAACCAAGGGACTCTCAAAAGTTCTAAGATCTCTGAGTGTCTACATGTGTCTACTATAATCTACTATATGTATAGATATATATATATATATATTGCATTGTTCAATCAATGACGGAGCACATGGAGAATCAACATGTATCCAGACTCGAAGCAGTGTGCCTTGAGAGTCAATGACCACATGTGCTCTTTGTGACATTTTGTGACAATGAAGAGGAGCAGAAGGTGAGTATAGGTGAGTCCTCCATGTGGGAGCTGCAGTATGCTGCAGTGGTGTACGTTCGTTTTACTGCTGGATCCATCACTCGATGTCCTATCACACCGGCTCTCAGGGGCCGGGTTCAGCTGGGGACTTCCAGGATGCTCAGCTGCCAGAGTATGTGATGACTCTGAGTCAAGGAGGCGGACAAAAACTGTCGATAGCTTGCACTGGTAGATAAAGAGAGCTATAGTGTGGGGCTAGGATGTCTTTGTCGCATGTTGTTCCACCTTTGTGACAATGTGACCTTACCAAGTATACTGCAAGTTATTCTGTCCCGGTAGAGGCAAGGACATATTGTGCGAGTGTTCAATCTTGGGCCAGGTCTTGATCGTTTGGCACTTTGGGAGTTGAGACGATTGAGGGCAAAGAACATCAAGAGAGTCCAAAGGCTCAGCTTTCCAAAGAGTTCAAAGGTTTTGTATGGTCTTCTGCCATAACATGCCATCACGTTCGATGCCATGTTGGAGTATAGAGCAGGTTGATCTGTCTTTTGATCTTTTTGTACCAATGCTTTGTACTCGCAGCCACAATCCAGAGCTCGTAGATTGATCGTTTTGCCCTTCGGTATCATTTTTTGAAGGTTCTTTTGAATCTCAAAAGCGCGATTTGTGTGACTGGTTGTGCATGTCAGTTGCAGATGGTTGTAGTCGCAAAACATCAGCTTAGAAAGTGGCAAAGTGGCTTCACAGTTGGCCAGACGTTGTGTGATGTTGCAGTTCCAAGGTTCAATGCCGTATCTTTTTCCGTGCATCATGCGGACCCCATGTCCTCGCTTCCTTGAAGTCCGCCCGAGTCTCGGAACAAAACTTTCCCTCGAGTTGAGCTGTTTGGACCGCCCTCCCAGGCTGAGAAGGTTTGCGCTGTGGCTCGAGCCTCTCAGATCTCTTTGGGATGAAGAAATTGACTCAGTTGACTCACCATATTTGAGATATTTTGAGATGGTTGAGAGGTGTGGCGGTTCCTTTGAAATTTACATGGTCCAATGCTGCTCGATCGTGAGTAATTGTCTTTTCGGCAGCTGCAAAACCACTTGGAACAACCAGTCAAGGGATGTCATTGGGCTGTCAGCCTTTCCATGGATCGAGCATTAAACGTCCTTTGGTAGGAGTCAAAGGACCCCCGGATTTCTGTTCTTGAAAAAGTTCGGATTCGGACTATTGAGCCATACATACTGCAGCCATACTACACTGCGGCAGTTCCCCATTTTTGCGAAGGTCTTGCGAGCAGATGGTCAAGAGCTGGCCAGTGTGACTCGGCAGAGCCAAGATGAGCCAAGCCAACCATCACACAGCTCGATATCAAGTTATCAATTGATATCAATTGATATCCTCTGGCAAAGTGTTGCAGTGTTTGTCACCCAAGAGAGTTGAATGCGCTTTTTTGTTTGAGCATGGTAGTTCTCAGGTCTTGCAAAAGCAAAGTGGTGATGGAGACCAGAAGCTGCAGGCGTGGTTGATCTGGATGCACTAAACATCATTAGAGCATTCACGCCTTTTGACCCACACTGATCCGGGTAAAGACATATTGGTTGCTTTTTCCCCTAGGCTTAGATATCGCGTCGCTGTATCCATAGAATTCTATAGATATATAAATAATTATAAATATATAGATATCCCTAGATATTTTAGATATCTTAAATGCTTTCTTGCAACTAGTCATTCTTTGATATATATATATATACATATGCTACCGGTCCACAATCAAGGCCTTGGCGAACTGGCTTACCGATGCTCCTGGATGGAGAAAGGCTATTGCCACATGGTGCGAGCCACAGCCGCACAGCCGAGCGGCCGAGCGCTGCCCCGTCAGAAACTCATGGAGTTTCCATGGCAGTTCCACCTGGTGGCAGCTGCAGGTGGAAGTTCAATGGAACCTATGGAACCTCTGAAGGGAGCGAAGGCATCCCATTCTGATCATTCTGCGTACGCATCGACGGTCGATATTGTGTTGATTTTGCTTGAGGGGTCTTCGGTCTGCAGCCTAGGTGTCAATTTGCATGTCGGCCTAGTTGAGACCAAACGTATGGCAATCAGCTTGCTGTGCTTGACAAGTCGCTTCAGTTGGCTCATCATTCTGAAGCTTGCTTCACTTCCAGACTGCCTGCACATTGTCCCCGCTGGCAGGTTCAAAGTCTCAAACTCCTCTAACGTGTGCTCGAACATGTTTAATGGCAGGGCCTAGGGGGTAGCTGCAGGCCTGACATTGCTGCAGCTTCCTTTGACACCAGCTCCGCTCAAGGCTTGTACCAAATGGACACCGAATTTGACTTGCTGAAATGAATGGTTTTAATGTGTTTGAATTTTCACTACATGGACTACACGAGATTCATCATCTGCTGGGTGGCTCTTTTGGCGGCTCAAGTTTGCTCGCTCCCACTGTGACCGGAGCCCATTGCTTGGCACAGCGCTAAGCCATGATGATGTCTGAAGAGGAGCCAATGAACCTCGTTGTGGAACCACAAGGAGTGCTTTAGCAGCAGCAGCTCCGACCGAATGAAGTTCATCTAAGTTCACTTACTTGTACATTGTACACCATGCTCTGAGCAACAATTTGTTTGAAAAGAAGAAATCAATCTATTGCACCATATTGCACCCAACTCTTTGTGGCGCTCATGTGGCCTACACATCTAGCTCATAAATACAACGTGCGGAATCCCAAGGTTCCAAGACGAGCAACGCTCTTGTGGGTACCAGGTGCAACCCATGATTCAGCGGCAATCTACCGTGGTCCAATGGAAGCTATGGCCTCCAAAGGCTATCGCTCAGTGGCACTGCGTCTCCGCAAGTCGCGGTGCACCTCCTTGGGAAACTATGTTCGCCAGGCACATCCAGGGGCACATCCAGGTTGCCAATGCTGCCAATGGTTGCCGGGTCAAGGGGCATGCAGCTACGTGGGGCAACATGGGGCAACCCCAGCCATGGCTTTTTCTGTACTCAGTGCCACATTGTTGCAGCCCGTGGCCAAATGCATAATTTGACAACGAAACGACCTTCCTTCAAATTCGTTGGAATACAGCTGGTATTTGCCCATGATTTTTTATATCCTTGAAGCGCAGGGCTCGGTATGTAGTGACATTTGTATACATTTGTGACGCTCTGCAATCTTTGCAAGGTGGAAGAATCGCTAATGGAGTTGGAGGAGATGCTGAGAGTTCTTTCACTCTGCGCTCAGTTTGTTCAGATTGCCGTATCATAGGAGACCGCTCATCAAGTTACAGAGTGTTTCGATAAAATCCCTTTGCAGGAGCCAGTCATTCTCATTGGCCATTCGTTGGGTGGAGCACTTGTGCAGGTGCTCGCATCATGTCTGTGGCAATTGAGCCATGAAAAATTCTCCTGTTGATTGGTCATAGTTTTACTGGGGTCTACTACCTGATTTATTGATATTTATTGTGGATAGTTATAGCCCATAATAGGGATACCGAAGAGTGGCCAGGTGCTTTTGACGAGACAGAGGGATGCTGCGAAAAAGGCTTGTGGTGCAGTGTTGCTATGCGCGGTACCTATCATGAGCTTTTGCAACTTGGCTTTCTGTTGGCAGTAGCATAGCCTCACTTTGGCTGCATGATGTCTTCACGCAAGAATAAAGCTGAAAGCCGTTTGCACAAGAAGTCTCTTGTTTGTTTTTGGCTCCAGTCGTACGTTGCGACGCGTTTTGGAGCTTCCTTTTCTGCCTGTCAGCGCGCGTTTATGTGCATATTCCTCCACGCCTGTCACGCGGCAGGGCAAGGGGGTTCGGGTGGGGTGGGGGGTGGGCGGGGGGCCAAAAACGTTTTTTGCCTTCGTTTCTTGGCCGTCGTTTGTTTATTTTGCAAGTTTCAACGCGCTCTTGATGCTACGCTGCGGAGAAGTTCTCTTGTAATTTATCAACACGCTGGTGATGCTACACTGTGGACGTTCTCTTGCAATTTTAAACACGCTCTTGATGCTACGCAGATTTTGATTCACGATTTGGTTTGGCATCTAGGATTTCACCACAAACTCTCATGATATCTTGGTTGACCAACTCAGCGCACGCAGACTCTTGCGTGAGTGAGCCTGGCCTGATGAGTGCCCTCAAAGCCATAGGACAAGTTTGAGAAAAGGTCAAAAATGCTTTAGGACACAAACCAAAGGAGTTCCTGGTTCTCAACCAAAACAGCTCTTGGCTGTTCGAGTGACCACAGAGGCGAGAAAAAAATGTTTGTCCTTCAGGCAAATCATCTCTCAAGAAAAAGGGTTCAAACAAAACAGTGCTTGTTCGATGCCAAAATTGCTATTTCGCTGTAGCCCGTTCGACATGCACGGAACCGTGGCGCCAGTGAAATGTTGATCAATTTGTCAAAAAAACACCTTCAAAACCATGACCATGTAATATGCAAAACAATAAAAAACACCGCAAAAACCGTAGAAAACCCAACATGACGTCACTTGGCTGCAATTGAAGTGCGTCGTGAGGCAATACTGGGCCGTTGTTTTTACGTCATTTACGATCACGACCACATTCCAATTTTTCCTCGCTGTTGGGACACCTGAGGCCAGTACTTGCGTTTTTTCCTATACCTCTACTGCAAGTTCTTCGTGCCCTTTATAATGGTTGTGTTGACACTCAATGTTGCTCAACTGGTGGGTGGCGGCTACTGCTGCCGCTCATCAAGGCGTTGCAGAGCTATTGGCTACTTGGAGGTCATAGCGCATCCATTGACCGTTGCAGCCGACGGCAAATAATTCACATTGGTTTCGGTGTTTCCATCATTTCTCTTTCTACTGGCACATACTTGAATTCATGTTACAATGTTCTTGCCAGTTCTCAACAAGACAAGGTGTTGCAGTACTGCAGTCACAAAAAGTTTAGCACCTGGCATCGGGAATTCCCAGCAAGTCCAGAAGATTCGTTTGTTTATTGTCGCTCTTAGACGTCATGATTCATTGGGTCCACCATGGTCTTCCCGTCCTCGCCACGACATGAGTTGTATTAGCTGTGTCCAGCTCAGGTTTCGCATCAGACCCAAACTCCGTGACAATTACTGGAACGAGACAGTCCTTTGAAGAATATCACGAAGGATCGATGATATCGATGTCCGGGGCGGGTATGGAGGTTTCATCATGTTTCAAGGTTTCATCATTGATCATGACTGGCTGTTAGATGAAGGCGTTTGAACAGCCTGAGTTGCGCTCCAACTAGTTTTTTCTTCAACGCTCTGGAATGTCCACGAGTTGCTGAGACTTTTTCTTGGTCATTCAAACACAAGAAGGGTGATCTATTTGCTGGCTGAACCTATGGCCGTATCACATCCAGAGAAGATATCAGCCCATGACAATGGTGTGAGATGGTGTGAGCACCTGGCAATCTTTGCACAGCTCCAGGCATCGCCAAAGTGGAATCCATTCCACTTCTTCTGGGCCTTCTTTGCTATGCCATCACAGCTCCAAGCGATCCGAAGGACAGTGGTCAATCCATTGATGGGATTTTTACAATTTTATACACCCATTATAAGGATGTTTATGGATTTTTGTTATGGGATGACCATACCACGTATACATACGTATACCATACCATGTTTTGACCGTAGCAAATGTGAAACATATGGATCATTAGATGATTTGTGTGTGTCTATTGCACGCTGGAGTGGTCCGGCAAAGAGAATGTAAAATACAGAACTTGATTGCTTGGCTGTTCCGATTTGGTTCGAGAGACGGCAGTAAACGATGCAGATATGAGAAGCAAATTGATGCTAGAGATTAGCGACAGCAATGGAAGTTCTTAACCAAGGGTTATTCAGAAAAGTTCTTACAATGTCTTGCTGCATAGTCTTGCAAAAAAATCCGAAAACATCTGAAAACCAAGTCCAAGGTCATGGAAAAGTCATGACTTGAAGCCAAATGAGTTGACCAGATCGACCTACCGAGGAGTCGAGTGGTACAACAGCTGCCGTGCTGGCAGCTGAGCAGGATGTTTTGACTCCTTTGTGGATGCATCAAAGTGCGCTGCTGGTGATGCATCAACAGGTACCAAAAACAGTGTTCAAATGATGTATTTTTGATGTTGTATGATCTTGTATAATTACCAGCAATGTGAACTAGCGCTTTCTGCGCACTTGGCAGAATCTAGCGAGTTTTTAGCCACGGTTTCAACAATTTCGAATTGAGCTGCATCATTGCACATTTCACGCCACAGAAGGAACATCATGCAGTCAACACAGGCAGCTTTTGCATTTCCTAGCAGGGGCGCATTTGAGCGGTAGCAGAATACAACGGACATACATTGGAAGCACATGTCTTTGCTGCACGTTGGTCTGGTGCATCATGGTGCTTGTCATTTAATTTGTAAGTACGGCTTTAGGCTTTCCAATCCTTGCAATCCTGGCAAAATCCAGGTACAGCTGCAGCTTGGAGAACCAGTGTACAGCCGATTTCAAATCAAGGCCTTGAAATTTGGCATCTTCAGCGGTTTTGAACCTTTCGGCTTGGACGCTTGTTGCTGTTGCAGGCCATTTCGTTTCTGATGAGGGCTGGGACTCAACGATCCTTGGCTACATTCAATTCCTGGAAGCATTTGGAGGTTTCTTAAGATGGGGGTATCGCAAGTCACCATGGGTTTACCAAAATGGTCTAGTTTTGGAGGATTTGGGGTAGCCCTTTTCTGCAGAAAACCCCCATTGGCCACTCATATTGGAGCCTGTGAGGCTAGTCCCGGTGCTCGAACAGCAGTTGGAGCTATTCACCTCGCGCAAGGGACTAGACTGACACGTGGAGCGTCACGTGGAGACAAAATGAAAGCTGAAGTCTGGAGTCTTGGAGTGCTTCCAAGAGGATCCTCAAAACATCATAAAACATCATAAAACATCATAAACTACAGTTGATCTGGCTCCAGAATGAGATACTGTACCACGTCTGTACCCTGTACCAGTCGCAGCAGAAGCACACATTTGCTCATTGCTAGTCGGCACGACACCCGTGGGGAGCATTTCTGGGCCAGTTGGCTACTAGTGACTCTGCCAGGTTCAAGATTACCTGCAGACGGTCCGGTAAAAAGTTTGCAGAGATCTCCTCGCAAGGCCTGGAAATAGCTAGAGCAACCCTGCAGAAATTGTAGGATGCTGCGCGGGTAAATTGACATATAAAGCGTCGAAGGACACACAAGTTTTGAGTAGCTGCGAGTTCTTCGTGTCTTGCAGAGCTTCAAGTGGTTGAGCCGCTGTCATTGATTGCAAATCTGCAAGGGATGAATTCGACATTTGGTGAGCCATTATCGAAGTCTTGCCCTCTTGTGAGTATCGGGTGAAGGTGGCCCCTGGATTTTACAGTATATAGATAGAGCAAAGATGGCCACAATCCCAATATATCCCAATGATTTGCCAGGTTTAGCAGTTGCAGCTGCCTCAGCCATTGCTGCGCGTCAAGGTGCGGTAAAAGTTACACGGAAGATTAGTCAGGTGGCAATGGCTTCATGCAGCACATATCGCGTCCATAGACAGTGTTGTAGGTTGGGATGGTTGGGTGGGTAGGGCCTCTGTAGTGTCAAACAGGTCTGTGTATATGGGGTATATGGGTCGCCTTTTTTGCTTTTTCCCCACCCAAAAACCCGCCCGGAAAACCCCTCTGTGGGGTGATGGGCAGAGGGTCTATGTGTGGTTTGTCATCTACTACCCTCACTTTTTCCCTATCTTTGGGTTTCCCCTTCGATATGGACCGGGTATAGATGTTAAGTGTCTGTGATCTGAATCAACTTTTCCTTGTGAGATATGTCTTTGTGCGAAGCCGAAGTCTCTCATGGAAAAAGTGTGTTGACGGTGCCAGCATGTTTCTTTTGACCCCTCATTCACATGTTGGTACCCAAACTTCAGTATGCTGGTCGGGCATCAATGCAGATGCCTCCCGCCAGGCTGGCGAGCACAGGCGCGCGAGTCAGGAAGGAAACCACCAGTCCTTCTGAGCCATATCAAACTCTGACCGACTTCACTGTATCCTGAAAGGCAGGGTCAGGTGGTCTTTTATGGTCTTTTGCTTTCAGAAGCTGCAAAGACTCCAGTCTCGATCAGGGCCTGTCCTTCCGCAGGTTCGGCGTCCTGACCTGGAGGTCCGGATATTAGTGCGGCAGCTTGGATGATTTGAAGACAAAGAGTGGAAACAGGTCGATCACAGTGATGGTGGGTTTGGGGGCTTGGGGGTGAAGAGGACTTGATATTTTGTGTATCAGCTCGCTACAGTCTATCTCCCTTGATACACTTGAGTTATAAGTCGATCCTGACTAATCAGGTCAGAACACTTGGATTACAGCAAGCCACGACGAAACTCTGCCAAACCAGTCCTGCTTAGCAGTGCCAGCTGTAGATGACGACTCTCCCAACTTCGGAATGGTAGGGAAAAGCTGTTCTGCATCCTGTGTGTACGGTACAAGTCAAAATCTGGGAGGCCAAACAATCGCGTGGTGAAATTCCAAAATTGCGTTGTTCCCTGCGGATTGGATTTGACCCTTTGCTCACACATGCTAAGGTGAGCGATTCAGACATTTTGGTGGATTTGCCTCTCCTAGCGGGAGACCCTGGTTCGTAGGTTCAGCTTTGGTGTATTCTCCACTATGGGAATCATGATCAGTACTGAAGGAATGATGTACCAAGGATGTACATGCCTCAGGGGTGGACAAGCACCAGATGATCATGTTTGATGCACCTTGTGTGTGCATGTGCCACATGATAGAGAAATATAGATGGATATATGATGATATATGGATAAAATATGGAATAATTACAGAGATAAGGTAAATATCTATATATATATATAAATTCTATATATATATATAATTATATATATATAATTCTATATATTTATTTATATATTTATATACATGTATATATGTAGGTCAATCGGCCCATCATCCATCCAAGGTCCAGAGCTCCATGAGACTCGCTGGAGAGCTGTCGAGCTCTGGCATGGCCGCACCCGTGGCGAGGATCTCAGTTGAGTTGATGTCCGTCTTACCGGATTTCCATAAGGAGTAGTTCGATTGCTACTCTTCATGGAGAAATAATGATAATAATGAGAATTACAGTAGCGTTGAAAATATTGAAATACCATGAAATACCGTTCGTATGGAGAATGAGCATTCGGAAAGGTTCCTTTATCAGTTTCACTCTTCGCCCAGATCCAAGATGATCCAAGGCTTGGGCCATGGCCCGATGTGCAGAACTGCAACCTGGAGAAAGGGTCTTAGATCCCATGTGTGGCAAGGTGCAGCGGCGCAGCTGAACTGAGAAATTGCATGCAGAAAACATCAGAAAACCAACATTCGGACACAAAAGACCTAGTGACATAAGATTTTAACGTGTGCTCCAGATACAGATGATAGCATGGTAATACAGGTAGCAACTCTATAACTGTGGTTCCATGTCAATTCCCCTGCCCTGGGGCCCTGTATTTTTGCGACAAGCATTCCTGGCAAGGCAGTCATCCTCGTCGAGGCTGCAAAACAGCTGATGATTTCTATCCATGTGGATTTGGCACGCTACCCAATGTTCATTAGGATATTGATGGATATTGATGAATATTGTATGATTGAAAAAGCGGTTTATAGCAGTTTCCGGCTGCAGATGGAGGAAGGGCACGAACGTGAGACCATGTGAGACCTATTCCTGCGAGGCAGCTTTGAGTTGGCCCCTTTGCCATTACATTGGTCGTTGCCACAGTTATGCCACAGTTCGGATATTCTCTCGGCCATGGCTGGGCAGTATTGCCATTGTCGCCATTGTCTAGGCCAAAACCGCAAGTTTGAAGATTTTGAAGTATCCTTCAACTCAAATGAGGTTGTATAAACATGTATAAACTTACAGCTGCCAGGCTTGAAAATATAAACGTACCGGCATGCAACAAGTTGGGTCCTATGTGGATATGCTACTACTGAAAAAAAAACAGTTCAAATTTCTTGCACATTCCTCACAGTTGTTTGTGCGCAATTGCACTGACTTCAAGCAGGTATCGACATTGATGCGGAGCAATTGGCTGGTGCCAACAGCAACGTCGAGTCCCTATGTCAGGAAAGTGCACGTATCATCAGGTATTGAGAATCTTTGGGCTTGACACCTGCAAGAGCTTGCCTGTTTGACGGGACACAAGCTGCAATGCGGTTCGGTTGCAGCTCAAGGCCTTTTTGGCTGCTGCCAGTGGTGCCCGACTGGACAGATGCGGGGGAAGGGAAGCCCCAAAGGATGGATGACTGATCCCTTGAGCCCTTTTTTGGGGTCCAGAGATTGGATTTTCGGACGTTCTCTCTTCAAGCCATGTGAAACTCGCATTTGTACATTCTGTGCGTTGAAACTCCTTCTCTACCTAATATAGTCGAAAACTAAAATAGTCTAAAGTCTAAGTTGGTATTATAATTTGCGTTTTACTCATCGAAGGAAGTTTAGAAGTCAAACTTCCGACAATATGGACAGATGAAAAGCAGAGCAGGGAAGAGGCAGAGAGAAGAGAAAGATCAGAAGAGAGAAGAGTAGAAGAGAAAGAGTAAGAAGAAAGAAGATGGAGATGCGCGAAAAGGTAGGAAAGTCGCGATTCACTGTGTTTTTCCAATGATTTGTGGCTCCGGAGGGTCGAAAAGTAGGCTGCTAAAGCGGCGGGTGCGGAGCCAGCTGGCCACAGGAGCGATGAAAAATTGCACGCCGTTGTGGCGCGAAGCACATTTCCAAGTCAAAATGTTAAAAACACTAGGGGCGCAGACCACTTTTGGCACTTGAGATGTCGAAAAAGCGCACGCCGTTGTGGCGCGAAGCACATTTGCAAGTCAAAATGCACAAAACACACCACGTATGGACCACTTTTGGAAGTTGAGATGTTGAAAAAGCGCACGCCGTTGTGGCGCGAAGCACATGTCCAAGTCAAAATGTACAAAACACTAGGGGTGCGGACCACTTTTGGCACTTGAGATGTCGAAAAAGTGCACGCCGTTGTGGCGCGAAGCACATTT